AGTCATTTAATCTGAGCCACAGTTTCTTTATCTGTAAAGTACAGATATTAATAAAAGTATCTCTAATATCTATTGTATGGGATTGCTGGCTTTCTATGAAGATCAAATAATATATGTAAAATACCATAAAACAGTATGTAAATATGAGCTATCATCATTATTTATGATGCCAAAATGTGTATTTTAAATTGAAATGGCAAGTGTGTATATATATATATTTATATATACATATATATCGATTTAACTTCTTAACTTATGCATACAAGTGACCCCCTTCTTGGCTGCTTGCCAATCCAGAGAAATGAGATGAGACAAGCAGCAATACTTCTACCTGACAAAGAAAGCCTTTTCTGACCTTTTAGTAGGTGCCTGTTGGTTTTTAAATTTTTTTTTATAGGAAAAGATGCCAAGTGACTTAACTCTACCTTCTTAAAATTCAAGAGAAACCTTTTACTTCAAAGTATTATGATGGAGATTAGTCAAGAACTTTTTATGATTAAAACCAAAACAAAACAAGGTATAGTCTATAGTCAGAGACCACTTAGTTTCTAGCTTTCCCCTTCAAGCATCATAGAAGTACATTTTGCCCACCAGTCTCATCTGCTGCCTTCCTGTGCTCTTAGCACACTGCTTTATCCATTTAGACCATTTGTGAAATGGAATCTTGGCAAAGTATCTCAAAACAACTTTCCAGGGCTCCAACTCTATTCTCCTATTAAAAATGGCACGATGTCACAAAGCCCTATGATTAGATTGGGTTAGATGGCCATAGACATCTCTTCCCATTGGAATTCTGTCAACAACTTTAGGACTGATGAAATCTGCACATGAAATCTCCCAATGAAACCCTCCCCTCTGGTTATGTTCCCTCCATGGCAAAGGGAGGTAGTCAGTGAGGTAGGTTTTGAATCATACTTGCTGAATCTTGCTCTCTGTTTGGGAAGCCGCCCATTATTCCTTCTCTGACTTCACTGACCTTTCCAGGGGAAGGAAAGGAAGCACTAAGCAAGAAAACAATGTCTTGTTTAAGAACAAAATGTAATGAATGAGATAACCTATGTAATGTTCTTTGCAAACCTGAGAGCGATATGTATTAGCTCTGCTGATTATTATTAAAAAGAAAAATTGGTACAGAGCATGCTGCCATCTTTTGTGTGTGTTATTTGTACACAGGAAATATGAGCCGGATTCTTGGCCTTTTCCAGGAAGTTAACTTCATCTACATAGAGAATGCAAAGGTGTTTGTTTTTTCATTATATATTTTCCTGCCTAAATTCATTGCTCCTTCCCTGACAGCCAGTCCTGCAGCATAAACGAAGGACAGGGCAGTCATTCAAAGATATAGAATTAAAGTAGATGGATGTTTTTAAGATGCAGCACAAAGAACTGACCTGCTACTGCTATTGTTTTCAGAAAACCTTTTCAGTAAAATGATAAACATCCCATTAATGCGGGGCTTCTTAACCTGAAGTTAATGTGACTTTAGGGGGTCCATGAACCTGGATGGGAAAAATGCATCTTTCTTTCAATATAATTGGTTTCCTTTGTAATCTTCTGTATTTAATTTTATGCAGTGAAAGATGTGATTCTGAGAAGATCCTCAAAGACTTTATTGGACTACCAAAGGTGTCTACCACACCAAAGATGATTAAGAGTCCCTGTCATAGTTTAAAGTGCTAATACCTTGAGCTCTCCTGCAAGGAGAGATTACAGTTCATCACCTCATTCCACCCGGAAATCCAAGAAGTATCTTAGAGATACCATGATCCCTAGACTCCAACCTACTCCACAGGACATGGAGTCTGCAGTGTGATGTAAGGCTGAGCAGGAGAGTCCTGGGTTCAAATCCTACCTCTGATGCTTACTAACTGGGTTAATATAAGTCACCTCTTCTCTCTAGTCCTCGATTTCCTTATCCATAAAATGGAAATTACCATTATTTATACTCCTTTTTTTATAGAGTGGTTATAAGGACAGTACTTTCTAAGTCTCAAAGTGTAATGTAAATAATAATGATAATAATAATAGCTTTAATGAATAACACAGAGAACCTTAAGTTTGCAAAAGGTTTTACATCTCATTTGAGAGTAAGTTAGTATTAGGGTTTAGTTTATTCTGATATTTCAGTGTATTTTTATGAAAGATAACTCATCCATGGGTGTAGTGAGATTGCCTGCAAGGGTGAGGAAGCTGCAGCCTTGAGGCCACATGTGGCCCTCTAGGTCCTCGAGTGCAGCCCTTTCATTTTGGATTCAGCCAAAGGGCCACACTTGAGGACCTCAAGGCCACAGGTTCCCCACTTCCCCACCCCTGGACTCCAGGCCTTAGGAGAATGTATGAAGCCTAGAGTTTGGGTGTGTTTATGACAGTCAAAGGAAGAAAATCTTCAGTTCACACCAACTGAAAAACAAGTGAGTTCTGGCTTATTTCTGCATCAGAGGCACTGGCCTCTGGCCAGTGAGAAAGAAGGTGAATGTAATGCACTTTTGGAAGTGAAGATTCAAGAATAATCAGTAAATAATTTTTTAAACCATATGACCTGTCCCAGAGAAAATTCAATGAAATCAAAGCTTATTGTAACTTGCCCTGATTTGAATGACTGCGAGCTCATGGTGAGTGGCTCTCTTTAGGACTCTCTTCAAGGTGTATGTCGCTAACATGACCAGACAATGGAGAGAGACTGTGACATTCATTCTGCGGACCTCTTCTTTTGAGCCTTCATAATAAACCATCCCTGCCTCATAGCCACGGGAAATTCCTTTTTCTAGGAATGGGAAGGATTTTTCAGAGAATCGCAAGTAACTGCATTTAGGCCTGCAAAATTTTTATTCAAAATCATTGGTGGGAGGGTTTCCAGTTCAGAGCATGTATAGGAACCTTCTGCAAGAAACCTTTCCCAGTCCTCCTTAATCTTAGTGCCTTCCTTCTGAGCTTATCTTTAATTTCTCATGCATATATATATATGATATATATCATATATATAATATAGCTTTTACGTAGTTGTTTGCATGTTTTCTCCCTCATTAGAATGTAAGCACTTTGAGGATAGGGAATGTCTTCCTTTCTCTGTATCCCTAGCACTTAGCACAGTGCCTGGCACATAGTAGGAACTCAATAAATGCTGATTGACTCAGCATACTTGGAACATACATCCATGGCTATGCAAAAGAAGGTGGGGATCATTGAACATTATCCAACTACTATGGGAGAAAGAAAAGAATTATGAAGAACTTTGAAGGCTAAGAGACATCATGGCATTGTGGATAGAGAGTAGCCTTGAAGTGAGGAAGACCTGGGCTCAAACTGTATCTTTCATACTCAGTGGTTGCATGACCCTGGGCCCTTTAACCTCTCAGTGACCCAGGCAATTAAGTTGAAGGAAAGGAACCAAACAACAGACCTTTCACACTGGGATTACCTTACACTGATGAAATCATTGAAAAATGCTTCCAGGTCACAAAAAAGGATACCAACAAGGAAGCGTATGACAGAGAAGGCAGTGGACCAGCTATGGAATGAATATGGAGGATGACAGCTGGACGGCTGAACCGGTGTAACGCCACTATAGAGGATGTATACAAGGGCAAGGATGAGAGTTGTATAGGATGTGACTGTGTGGATGGGTTGTGATCTGTATCAGCGGGAGGAATGTCTACCTCAAGGAAATCATGGAACCACTGAAACATTTAAGGATAAAATGATACAGTATAGAGGTATGTCTCTCCTTCCACCAACTCTAGCATTGGGATCCTGGTGGTGGTGAGCACTGAATGTCACTTTGCTAGAGCACCCAGTAGTGTTTAACTTAAAAATAGATGTGCATGTAATCATGCGTAAAACATGTATGTATATATAATATGTACATGTAATCCAGGTATATAGGTATACGTACATATGTAGATACACATGTGCATACATACATGTTTGCACGTATGTGGATAGAGCATATAGGTCTATATCTAGGTATATGCAGTGAAACAATGATTACACATTGGATCTGCTTCTTAAGAGTTTTCTACAAGCTTTGTAGAAAGTTGGGAAATGGAAAAGGCCATTCTGGTTATATTTTGTTGGCCTCAGGAAAACAATACAACTGTGTGCCTTGGAGGGGTATGGTAACAGTTAGCCCTGGATTCTGATTTGCTTCGTCCCAAATGTCTGTCTACAGTTAGAGGTAGCAGAGTGTGCCAAAAAGACCACTGGCTTTGGATTCCAATGACGTGTTCAAAGTTTGCTTTTAGCAGTTACTACTGGTGTGACCCTGGATAAATCATGGTATTTCTCTAGACTTCTGTTTCCTCAAATATAAAGGGAGGGAGTTGGACTAGAATCAGTGGTTTCCATTTTGGAGGTTCATGATGATGGTCCAAGACTCAGCAGGGGTGGGGACCTGCAGCCTCGAGGCCACGTGTGGCCCTCTAGGTCCTCAAGGGCGGCCCTTTGACTGAATCCAAACTTCACAGAACAAATCCCCTTAATAAAAGGATTTGTTCTGTACAATTTGGACTCAGTCAAAAGGCCGCACCCAAGGACCTAGAAGGCCACATGTGGCCTCGAGGTAGCAGGTTCCCCACCCCTGGTCCAAGGCATTTGCACTAAAAATTCTTCAATGGGGTCTTAAGCAAGAAATAATTTGTAAAGAATATTATGAATAGTATATTCAATTATTTAGGGGGTCAAAACACATTTATTGTTGGGGATGATGGTAATGGAACTAAAAGCATTGGGAACCACTGGATTAGGTAGATGACCTCAAAGGTCAACCAAAGATTCTCCATGGTCTGGCTTACCTGCTTTTGAACATTGGGTGAAAATAAAAATGTCCCTTGTGGGCCAAAAAGTGAAACAAAAACCTAACCTGAGGCAGGGAAGGGGAAGGTTGAACACCTTAGCATGAGCAAGAAAGAAATCAGGAGGGTGGGCCAGTGTGTTACTCATTGATTCAAGGATCTCTGCCACAGAAGGATTCTGAGGCTTCATAACAGAGGAGGAGGCGGGAGGGCAGCAAAAGGAACAGTCTGTTCTCTCCTTTATTAAAGTCGGCTTTCTCCGGCCATATTGCAACTTGATACAAACAGCCCAGCAGAGGGGGTAGTGCATTAAATCTCGTTCCTGCCAATGTAAACACAACAGTAATAGTGAGGAAGAAAGAAAATGGTAAAAAGTCCAGTGTCTCATCATTCTGGGTGGCGGCTGCTCTTGGGGGATCCTCCAGCAGGTTCCTGGAGAGGCCTGGGTGGTAAATTCTCTCCCTGTCCATGGTGAAGTGGGCATGGCTGTGCCCTGATACAAAATCTTTGTCTTTCCCTGAAATCCACCTCCCCCCAAAGGAGACTTTATTCCTCAAAATGAAGCTCTTTTGTAATCCAGTTATTTTGAGAGTTGGCAGCTTTGGCAATGTCTCTCCAAGGTCAAGGGGCAAGTCCATCCTATCCAGCTCACTTAAGAATGACACACAACATCCCCAATCTCAATGTCTTTTCCTAGGACCCACTGTCCTGTCAATAGAAAACAGTCAGCCTTCATTTTGTCCTCATTCCACTCATGTCATTCTTGGAAGGCAATGGACACATATCGTAGGTGTTTGTTTCCAGCTTTATACTTTTGGTCAACTTTTCAATACTAGCTCCAGACGTCAGTCTTCATTGTTGAATCATGAGAAGTGATTGAAAATTACTGAGGCCACTGACTTCCTCTCTGAGCCTTGAAGCAATTGCTCCCCACTCCCACCTCTCATCTTGAACTCCCAGACAAAAAAGATTGACTTTGAGGATAAAGAACCAACCAAAACTACCTAAAGGTTTGAGCCAGTGGTATTCCCCCTTCTGTTCTTCTCCCAAGGGAGAAAAAGTAGAGCTTCTTCCTTCTTCATTCATGATGACAAATGGTCAATCCAACCCTTTGGCCGACTTTGCCCTTGGGTGCTCATTGAGGTTGATAGAGTAAAGGAGGAAGTTCACTTTAAGAGAAGCAAAGTGGCTTTTTTAATTTTTGAAATTCATAGGATGGCAAACCCAAGACTTCCACTTTCCCCCCCATCTGAAAACAGTGCCATGGTTATCCAGTGGCTACATGAACATTCTGAAGACCTGTTGCTGCTTTGTTGGAAAGAAAATAAGCCCTTTCTCTCTGGCCACCTCTCTCTGGCCCCATGGTCTCGGTGGATGTCCAGTTGGGTTACATGCCTGCATCTTCAGAGCACTCAAGTGAGAGATGGAGGAGGAGTGGGCACGGTCCCAGATCTCTGCAGCAAAAACGGCTGGATTGGACCAGGGGGAAAAAAAAGAAGGAAAAAATCCAAACAAAACGAAAACCAAAAATAAATTCTCAGTTTTGAGTTTTTAAGACTGGGCCCAGGATAGTAAGTGGTTATCACCTTCTATTGTCTCTGATCTCCCAATGATGGGACCCATTATGCTAGCTGTTATTCTCAGCCGTGAGATATTTAAGGGCAGCAAAGCCATAGCGACGGGACATGTCCTGCTGGAATTCCTCCTTTAGGGTCTTGAGACAGATGCGGTATTGCTTGTTGGAGCGGAACTTGGTGATGTCGAAGCTGGGTGCATGGGGCATGTGGATCATGTAGGCATTGGGGAGCACAGTGAACTCATACTCCTGGGAGAGAAAGACACCAACAATGAACATAGTAAACCATCGCAAGGTCCTTACTGATGGTTTATGGTGACATCAGGGGCACCACGGGGCAGAGCAAGGGATGAAAAGAAACCTATATATCCACTCATAGAGGGTGCCTCAGTGGCATGAAAAGAATTGGCCCAATAAACCCTAATAGCATTTAGGGCATACATCAACTATGGTTTTTTTTTTTTTGTTTGTTTTTTGTTTTTGTTTTTTGGTGAGGCAATCAGGGTTAGGTGACTTGCCCAGGGTCACACAGCTAGTAAGTGTCAAGTGTCCGACCGGATTTGAACTCAGGTCCTCCTGACTCCAAGGCCAGAGCTTTATCCACTGAACCATCTAGCTGCCCCCATACATCAACTATGAAAGAAAGAAGAGGAGACCCCTGGAAAAACTGGAAGGTGGAGGGGAAAAAAAAGCCAAGAAAGAAAACAAACAAAATGGAAATATTCCATTAAGATTTCTCAGCTGTAAAATTGCTAGCCAAACCTCACCTAAGCAGGGACCATTTCTCTGGTACCTGTAGCTCTCTGAGACACATCTGAGAGTTAAAATGGAACCCCGACCCCACCAACCTATCAAAGGCTCTGGAGCAGGGTGCTTGATGGTGCAAGGCCTAGGGCCTAAAGGTTGTCATTTTAGCAAGCAACTTTGCTTTCCAAGAAGGGGCATTTTATACCGCTGATTGTGAAATGGCTCCTAACTTTTGAGTATCTTTTGGGGTGTGGAGTCAGGTAGACTTAGCCTCAAATTCTAGTTCCCACATGAAGTTCTAGAACATAAGTTAATCATTTTGTGTTGATCTAGTGTCATCATTATGAACATAAATTGTGTTCCTGTGCCATTCATGGAAGATACTCTATGCTTAGAGGCTTTTGAGTCTATAAGACTATTGCTCCTAGGTTCACTGGCCCCAGAATGCCATATTTATAGGATACTTTAAGCTTTACTTTCCTCAAAATAAAATGCCCATGAGATCAGCAGTTCAGGTAGTATGAATGTGGCCAAGTCATATTGCCTCCACGTATTTCTGAATTTCTTCATCCATAAAATAGGGATAATAATAGTCAAACTCTCTCACGAGGTTGTCCTGACTACGGTCTCTTCTCAGATTATGGTGTAGTTGTTGCTACTGACTCAAAGTTTAGTCAGCCTTCAGGCCTTCACTCAAAGCCTATTTACTTAGACTCAATCCACCAGACTTTCCAGTGCGCAGCAATTCAGAGACAACGAGTTAGGATGGGGTCTCCCTGATAGCAACGGGCAATGAGAACTGAGTCTGATAGACAGGAGGAAAGTGGGAGAAAAAGATGACCTCAGCTATAAAAGCTCCAGAGCACACAGTATGGAATTAGAAGTCCAAGCTTCAAGTTCCAGCCCTCACTTTTCAGGTTGCTTCCCCTCTATTAACCCCAGTTTGCCCATCCGTAAAATGGAGGGATATTCCTTGAGTTGCCTACCTCATGGGGCTTGTTGCAAGGAAAGCAAAACTTAAATTTTTCTACTGTTGCCATCTGGGGTCATTTGGAGTAGGGGCCATCAACCCATTAGACACAATAACCTCTGAGCACAGGAGTATATTACATGACCAGTCAAGGACAATGACTGAGGTTTATAATGAGGACCCCAGATCAACAAGAAAGGGTTAAATTATGTTTCCTATACTTTATTTAAAAATCACATCTTGTCTGCTAGAAAGACTTCCTTTCCCGGGTTCGAGTCTTGTCTATGAAACATACTGGCCCTTCTCTGTGCTTCCAGGAATCATCTAAGTCAATGTAGAAGATCACGGAGGATTCGCCGATTGATTTCAGTGGGAGTGGGAGAACAAGTGCCAAGGGTTACTTGTGTGCCAACGTGGTCAAAGGATGTAGAACTGGGCCCCTAATCTAAGCATTCTCTACATGTCTACCTTAGCAGGCTGGACCCCAAAGACTCCTAGAAACAACCTCGACTTAGCTAGACAATTTGCTTATGACGACTCAATGAGCATGGGTTAAATTGGTCATTGTTGCAGATTTTCTCTTCTTTTAAGGAAGTAACCAAGAAGAGGAAGAATATTGCCCTATGTCCCCATGGTACTCTGAGCTCCTGCCAACCACATTTTTGTTCAAAGGATGGGCATGACTTGCTCACGTTTTCCACTGTGAAATATGAGCACTTGTCTTCTAACTTGATTTGCTATCTTTATGACCATTCATGAGCTAGTGCTGATTTTAACACCAGCTCCTTCTCTAGGCTAATGGTTTGGAAGGATGATTTCACCTTTAGTCAGGTGCCTTTGGAAAAGATCAATACCTAATGATTGTTTTCTTGCCTCATCGTTAAGAGATTATAGGGATTTTCTATAATGGAGTAAGATGGATGGTCGATGCAATGTTAGTTCTTTCAAACTCAAGGCCTCCTGCAACTAACTATCTGTGGGACTTTGGGTAAGTGTTTTTCCCTTTCTGAGCCTCAGTTTTCTCATCTGTAAAGTAAGAGTAATTGGACCTATTGGTTTCTGAGATGTATTCCATCTCTAAGATTCCCTGATTTTATTTAATTTCCATGAGATCTGGGGAGTTTGGGGCTCACTTTACCTGTGCATCCAGTTCCATGATGTGGGCCACCTTGTTCCAGCCAAACCCAACAAACCTTCGGTCATATTCAGGACAGTCACGCCTCACCACAACATAGGGTTCAAAGTCTGCTTCCCATTCGACCCGGTATGGGGTGGTGGCTGTTCTCCACTTGGCGAAGTTGGTAGGGGCATGCCCTTTTGTCCAAACGTGATACCTTAGGATACAAAGAGAGATGAGGTACTGGTATGGGCAGTGGTAGAATAAGTGTTAGGAGGTCCAACATGGCCAAAGGTGGCATAGTTGGGCTAGGACTCTATGCTGATGTGCACAACCTTTTAAGATCAGGATGTCAGATGCATGTTGCCATAGAGACCCAGCTACCATTTTGGTCCATGCAATCATATCTATCTCGAAGACCTTCTATACATCTTCTGTTGTCTTCGTCATTGTATTGAGAAGCAGGGTGGTATGTTGGTAAGAGTTTGGGCTAGGGCTCATAGAATTTGAGTTCAAATATCATTTCTTGTGCTTAATACCCGTGTGGCTTTGGGCAAGTAATTTCATCTCCTCAGTTTCCACCTCAGTAAAATGAGAGGGTTGCACTCAATGACCTTTGAAGTTGCATCTAGTACTAAAATCTATGATCCCAAATGAGAGCTAAGTACGATGAAATTTGCACCTAAGCAGGAAATGAGACAGGCCAGTGTCAGTTCCAACCTGGATATTTAGGGTGTATTTTGTCCTTGATATCACTCTTTAACTCTGTAATCTGATGACTGTGTACTCTCCATCAATCGGCATTCTTTCATTTAAATGCTTGTCAAGCCTCTGATAAAAACTTTTTTACAGTGGGTGCCTTTTGTCATTATATTCCAGTCTTTCTAGATCTACCTTCCCAACAATGTGCCCTCCCTTGTAGAAAGAAAAAAAAGCAGTACGGTAAAACTGATCGATGGGAGCCATGCCTGACAGTGTTTTCAATATATTGCACTCACACAACTCCCCTGCTGAAAAAAGGGAGAAGACCATTTGATCATCTGTTCTTTGGGATCAGTCACTGCAATCACTCAGAGTTAGATTTCTGTTTAGTTCTCTCTTCCCTCACATTACTAAGTGACCTTGTGTTACTAAGATTCAATATACTTAATGACCATATTGAGGTTTGGAGAACATTTCAAAAAGTGTGTGTGTGTGTGTGTGTGTGTGTGTGTGTGTGTGTGTGTGCGTGTGTGTGTGTGTGTTGGGATGGGTATGTATGTGCCTATAGTTAAAACCTGCTGCAAGGGAAGTTACAAATGTGTCCAATATCGGTTTCAGAAATGAAAATCTTTAGATTTTCTTTAAATTAAATTAAATTAAATTTAAATTTTTCTAAATCTTTAGATTTAGAACTATTCTTTAGAAAAGAAGCCAGTATTCATGAATAATGGAAAGAGCAGGGTGTTAAGCCCTGACTTTCCTGTTGTCTCCCTGTGTAACAATGGTCAAGTTACCTTACATCTCTGGGCCTCTTGGTTTCCTCATCTGTAAAAAAATATGGGGTTGGAATCACAAAACTGCAGGAGTCCAAAGCCGCAAAGTGCCTCAGTCCAACCTGTACCTGAAAAGAATCCAGCCCTGGTGAGTTGAGCTCTCTAAGGACCCTGCCAACTCTACAGGTCTAGGATTCCAGGACAATTCTGAAGCCTTAGGGAGAACAGCTGTTCAGAAGAGGAGAGAAAAGGGTGCTGTCACTGGGCTGCTCCTGCCTGCTTAGGAGCTGGGCCTTGGGTTGCCATTTCTGTCAACTCAGGCCTTTGATAGACACCAACTGAGGTCAGAAAACTGGTAGGAAAATGACAAGTCAAGTGATGGCATTTCAATAAAGCCTATAAGAAGGAAAAAAGATGAGGGTGTCAGATGTCAGGGTTAATTCCTTTCAGTAGCTCTGGGGCCAGGGCAGCCCTGGAAATGAGGGATTTGGGCTGCTGTCCTTGGGAAAGCTGCTGCTGAGGCCATCCTGAGGGTTGCAGCCTTTGACTAAATAGGCGTTATGGAAGCAGTGACTATGCCTGTTGATGGTCTAATGTTGATTCTTGGAGGCTTCGGGCATCTCTGGCCTATTTTGATGGACTAAGAGTCAGGAGATCTGGGTTTGAATGTTGACTCTGTCACCTTCCTAGATATACAACTTTGGGCCAGACTTTTCCTATCTTAGCCTCAGTTTTCTCATCTGAAAAATGACAAAGTTGAGTCATCACTTCCAAAAAATGGATGCTGAGGCATCCCTCCCACTCCTTGGCAGAGAGGTGGAGGACCCGAGGGGCAGAGTGAGGTCTACATTTTCAGACATGGCCAATATGTTCATTGAGTTTGCTCAGATACAATTGTTTGTTACAAGAGAGGGCTCTCTTGGACTGGTGATGGGGAGTCAGAAGGGCAAGAAAATAGTGTCAATGAAACATTTTTGAAAAAAAAATTAAAAAGAAAATTATTGTTTTGAACTAAATTTCCATTAGAAAGCAAGATAATGTTATTGTTGCCACTAAGAATTAGACTTCGATGCAGTTTCACTTCTTTCCCACCCCCTGCTTCCAACGGCAAACATGGAAAACTCTGATGTGCTGTAAACTCACAGAGGGATGGGAGATGGGGGGAAAAAGATAAGGAGGGAGAGACAGAAAGAATGTGTGTGTGACCTTTTTGGGGGGAGTCTGAGCTTTGATCACCAGCTCTTTTGTAATTTATATTCTTAGAGTGGCCTCACTAACAGACTGAGTGACATTAGTAACAATAATAATAATAATAATAATAATAATTTATTGTTGTTCAGTTGTTTCAGTCATATCCAACTGTCCTGTGACACCATTTGGGCTTTTCTTGGCAAAGATACTGGAGCAGCTTGCTATTTCCTTCTCTAGCTCATTTTACAGATAAGGAAACTGAGGCAAACAGGGTTAAGTGACTTGCCCCGGGTCACATAGCTAGTCATTGTCTGCAACCAGATTGGAATTCATAAAGAGGAGTCTTCCTGGTTCCAAGCCCAGTGCTCTATCCACTTCACCACCTATCTGCCTAACAATAACAACATTTATATAGTACTTCAAGGCTTACAAACACTCATTCTCACAACCGTGTGAGGTAGGTAACATTACTTATCCCCAATTTACAGATGAGGAAACTGAGATTAAGAGAGGTTAAGTGACTTGCCTAGCATCACACAATAAGATTCAAACTCAGGTCTACTCTATTCCAAGTCCAATATCCAATCCACTGTGCTATTTAGCCAACTTGTCCATGATTTCTCTCTCTCTCTCTCTCTCTCTCTCTCTCTCTCTCTCTCTCTCTCTCACACACACACACACACACACACACATATATACACACATACATATGACACATATATATCAAAGGCAACACTCTAACTCAGATCCTATATCCACTGCTTCATATTATCTCTTAGGCATATGATCAATCAATCAGTCAGTCAACAAGCATTTTTTTCAAGTTCTTACTATGCACCAGACACTGGGCTAAGTGCTG